TGATTCCCTGAGTTTAGTCTTAGCATTATTTATTTAGAGAATTTTATTTGAGTTACAAATCGGACGTAACAACGTATAATGCGATTTTTTAAACATGCATGAAAAAATCATTAAAATCGTTTAACTACTTTTTGTATAAATGGGACCATAGCAATAGAAAAGTAGGAAACTTCTGGAAAAATCAATTTATCTATATATGCCAATATGATTTCAGGGTGAAATGAGTTCATATTTAGAAAAAAAAAATTTTTTTTTATTTTTTCCGGCCCTTTCTATTGCAAAGGTTATATATCGTCGTAAATGACATGAAATATAAAATATTTATGACATGTATTCGAACTTGATTTTTCTTAAATGTAAACAAACTTTACATTTTCCTATGATTTATATCAATAAGAGCCATACGCTGTTAAGCTTAAACTGTTCGTCGTTAATTCAATAAATATTATTTACTAGCAGGGAGTTTAAGTACGTTTAAACTATGAAAGAAATAAATACGAATAATTAATTGAAGAGTCAGGTCATCTTTATTGATATAGATTTTAAGAAGAATGAATTAAGTTTACGAGCAAAGATAATTTTAAAGATAAATATTATTGATTTATTAAAGAAATTGGTAGTGACTCTGCCATTTAGCAAGTCAAAGATACAGAATATTTATACAAAATAAAATAATAGTAAATAAAATATGATAAATATGATAAATATGATAAATGTAATAAATATAACTAATCTATCTAAACTAACAAATATAATATATATAACAAATATAATAAATCTGGTAAATCGGTCAAATATGACCAATGTCATATTTGTCATATTTGTCCAATTTGTCATATCGGTCAGATTGGCCAACCAATCCAAATCACATTATTGGCTATAGTTGATTGGCATAGCATGAATCACGCCTTCAACGCCCACTCAGAACTCTTTCTTGAAATTTATGTATTATATCTGATATCTACAAAAGACCCAATCGCTGAAGTGCTCCGTTTGATCACGTGTTATTATGCAAATATGTTAAATAGAACAAAAATATGATATTGTTGATCGATTTTGTATGTTTGACATATTTATTATATTTATCTTATTTGTTATATTTAATATATAAATATTATTAGACATATTTATATTTAGTATATAAATATTATTAGATATATTTATCTTATTATATTCTTATTAGTTTATTTTATATAAATAGCATGTATTTTCCTGTAGTTGAAAGATGACTCGAGATCAGTGTTGGCAAATGACCTTGAAATGACCTCAAATGACCTCACTTTAATTATAAATTTCCAGTCAAAATGATCAAGGTCATTTGAAAAAATAGTAAATGACCTTGTAATTTGCCATCACTGCTCGACATAGTGTTTTGGGAATAAAGATATTTGTTATTCATTTACTATAAACCTTTTGTTGTGTCTTCATACAGGTGTGATTGTGATAAATTGTATTCAATTTGAAGAACTGAATTAAATCGTCTAAGTTTATTTTCAGATTACCAGCTAACATCGCATGTTACGATGATGATGAAGTGAGATAATAATAAAGTTAAAGATGGATCGAGTTTTAAGAATGTTATTAAATAATTAACTCGAAAAATGTAGCAAAAAAGAAAGAAAAATGGAAAGGAACTGATAAACAAAAAGAGGAGATCTATTTAAGAGATTTTGATATTTTTGTTTTTATACCATCATGTCTATAATTTTCCGTCAAAAAATTCAAGAGAAAAACGTTAAGAAATTCGCGAAAAAGTGTTCTTTAGGCAAGTAATAAATTTAGCAATCAAATTATTATTGTTTCATATGTTAGCGTTTATAAATATTAATTTTAATTTTACATTTAGCTCCTATAGCTTTTCCAATTGTATTACAAAATCCATAGACAGCTAAAATCGTCCTCCATTCAATCAAAAACAATAACGAAATGCCTGCGCTACTTTTTGATTGGAATAATTTGGGTTTCAACGGTAACCTAACCTTGCAAATCCAAATTATCGTAACGGAATTGCAGATCAGACGCAAGCGGCAATAGTACTTGGTTGCAAATGGAGCAATGGACTATGGTAATCATGGCATTCTTTTTGTATTTCGAAGTGCTGCAATTGGAGTATGGACGAGAAACGTTAAAGCCAATATACCATGCTATGAGATATTTGTGTGGTTTCGATAATAGATAAATCTGATTCTAAAGTCCTTCCTTTATATTTTTTTTAAAGGGAAAAATATCAAACTGTGTAATGCGATAATCAAAATTAATAGGGTATATCCGGACACAGGAAAGGTTCATCTCTTAGATTTTTTAGTTGTCTTTGAATATGAACTTTTTACTTTTTCAAATATGCATCATATGCATAGTTATTCTATCGTAAATTTTTTAAAACATTTATTACGTATTTTATAATTTTAATATGGCTTTTATCAACAAATGTACGTTCATTATCATCTGCTTTGATTTCAAACTTTAATTCAATTAAATAAATTGAATAAAGTAAACAAGTAGACAAAATCCTACTAATTGTTTGATTTCGTAAAACCACCCGTGCCATCATAAGCTTCTTTATCATTGGGTTGCAAAAATTCAAATGATTTTCGGTATATGATCACATTCATCCTTTTCTGCCACCTGTTTATTCAAGCCAAGTAATTGATTCTTGGATAACATCTTGTCTGCTAGGTAAAATTTTTGTCCTATTGAATTGGAATTAGTATTTCGGTAGAAAATTTAATAATGTTGAACAAACCTTACTTGAAGTATATTATGTAAGTAATACGCATTACTTTCAAGTCCATTTCGTGTCGTTGTGTGAAACTTTCTCATCATCATTACGATTTTTCATGACATTATTACAAATGTGAGTTAGTAAAGTTTAATTGCATGAATGATTTACATTTTGATTACATACAAAAGCGTTCGATTTCTTCTTTTGATAATTGGTCTGTATTATTCGTAATAATCATGTTATTTAATCGTCCAGCTGTCAGTAGCAGATACTTTAAAATTTAAAAAAAAAAGGTTTTTTTAAAAAATTTTAAAATATTACCATTTTTGAACCCCAAATACATACTATACTGTCTGATCGAAGGTGACTTCGATTTGTGAACGCCTCTTTGTGTCGGAGGAATTTCAATATTCCAAGTAATTGTTGTCCATAGTCTTAGCTCGTTCGCCTTCAAAAATTTGAATAAATATTCCCGGTTGATTATCAGAATTTGCGGAGAAAATATTAGTTTCCTAGTATGTATTGTTATATTACGCTTGATAAGTTTTGTCATGATTGAACTTGAGACTTTATGCAAGCATCACTAGATAAGATATAAGCTTAAACGGTTGGAATTGTATACAATTGCAGAATTAAGATACCATCTTTTGAATCTCCAAAATAAATGTTGAACTACCGACCAAACAATTTATGAACTTGACTTATGTCGAATCTTCAAACTTGATACGTGTTAAGGATATGTTTAAATCGATATTTTTCAAATGGAGAATGGAAGCTTTTAATACTAAAAGTGTACGAGTTGCACGTTCACATGTGTTTCTTAACCGTCGGAGAGCACGTTAATATTGTAAGGTTTTTCCTTAACTTTTGTCTAAATTCGTGTACGATATAATATTCAAAAATATTGTAGAAATCTTCGCATTCAAGATTTGTGTAGTATTGTTTGCAGATAGAAGTGTGAAGACATATAATTTGGATGGATAGGCACAACACAATTTTGAGCAGATTGTGTCATATTCGCAGACTGTCCAATAATGTTAGGTGGGGGTAACGACGCTTATTTAAAAACGCAATATTGAGCATTTGAACTTCCATTATTGTGATTAATTATACCCATAAATGTCGCGTTTGAGTATATTGTAGCATTGTGAATTATAAAATATAATACCATATTATCTCATGATAAATTAAAATGTTGAACGTCGGCATCAATTATACAAAATAATTCTTAACTTGAGGATTTCTGGAATCATTTCAACAAATAGTTGCCGGTGCTGATAATATTGAAATATTTAAATCATTATAATGATGATGTCGTATTATATTTTCTTTAAAACAAAAGCCAGGCACGTTTTGTTTTGCAATTAGGTACTTCAGAACTTTGTCCCTGGGCTCTTATTTTCCTATTGTAATAGGAACGACTGTGCGAATTCCCATGCCGACTTATGGATAGAAGATGAGAGTTGTCATTATTGGTATCTCTGTATGATATTTCGACCTTCATGGGATCTTTTGAGCGCTCGCATAGTAATTTGTCCATGAAAATAGTTAAAGTTTGATTGTAATATGAGTCTTAGAAAGTACTTATTTCTGTTGACGGAGTATTGGTTATGCTGCTTGTTGATTCACAGCTTATACTTTAAAGGATTCTGCTTCAATAGTTACTATAACCAAATATCTGAATGTTCTGTTTTCCAACAGTCTTCTTATCCAAACCCATAAGAATTAACTGCTGCAGTTGCTTCATTAACCATATTAATTACAAACAAACCGGCAATTGTACCAACTTTAAATGTATAAATTGTAAAAAGTACGTTAGCATGGAATGACAATCAGGCAAATGAATGAAATTCAATCTTTTTTTTTAGAAAAAATTTTGATAATTCATACTGGGATTCAATGTCATGATTGTAAAATTACGACCTATGAGATGTTTAACATAAGACAGTATAATAATAATTTGATTTTCTGCATCACCGATAAGACGTTCTGTGTCATTGAACAATTGAAGGATTACCCTGGTCAGAGAATAATTTCAACTCTATATATCGTCTTGGGAAACACCGATAAGAATAAGTTTTCAAAAATCAGTCATTATTGTACCTAATTAAACTTGATATATAAAATATTCTAAAATAAAAAAAAATTTATTTAAAACTTGCGATATACAAGAATAGAAAATAGCTTAATTCTTGCAAAGAAAACGAAACTCCAACAATTTAATGAACTTACCAAAAATGGTAAATTACTATCTGATATGAAATTAAATAATAATAAAATGGCCAATGTTTCTCATGGCGACATCCTTAAAGATTTACATGCTCGCGCTTTAAGACAAGGTCAATTATTGAAAATTTTACCTTCATTATATACAAAATGATAAGAAAAAAAATAAAATGAAAACTGACAAAAAAATTTTTTAAGAAAAAAAAAAAACCAAAGCAAACAGACAATTGTAAAATCAAAATTTTATTTTTTTTTAAAATAAATATCTTCTATTCATTATTAATTCCAAATCGTATAAGTCGATCAGATAAATATACAGACATTAATTAAAGGAGACATCGCAAGTGAGATATCAGAATTAATGCTAAATTGGATGATATCACATAATGGAACATAGCATAGCAAAAAAAAGTTACTTTGCGAAATGATGATGTCATAGTGAATGCAAGGATGCCAACAAGTAAATTCCATGATCCACTTAAAAAAGTTAAACGAGATAGTAAGGTAATTAAAAATTACGCAAAGGAAAAGTAGTGGCATTAAAGAAAATGTTTTCCGATAAAGAAGAAAAGGAGCATATTAATGATAAGCTATTGTATTGAAAGCCACAATATATATAGTAAAATTTTACGGATTTATCAAGGAATTAATGTATATGGTAACAGAATAATATGAGTATGAAAACTTTAAAAAATATTTTTCACAGATATAATTCGTCGATGCAAATATTTGGAAGAAAAGGTTTCTTGTTTATCGGTTGTGGTGTATCTGATGGTGAAGATGATGCTCGTTTTGGTACTTATCTTATGCCTAAAGGTTCTAAAGAGGTATGGTGATAAGCATAGTAAATCTTATTTTTTTATTGAAAAATTGTTTTTAAATATTGTCTAAATCAATTTTACTAATAGGAAACATGTAATACCCATTTTCCAATCTATTACCAATGTTAAAGTGACCCATGTTGTGATTGGGTGAATCTGGTGCCGGTTATTATGTTAAAATGTCTACAACAGTATCGAATAAGGTGATATCATTTAGAAAAAAGGACTCGGTCTCAGTCATGATGGCTGATTCTTTGTATATTGGAACAAAGACGAATTGTACTCCTTCTTGATTGATATCATGAAAGATATCATGAGATTTAAGGAAGATGATGATACATCCTTAGTTGAAAAAATTAAGGACACTGCTGGCCAAATAAGTAAAATATTTTAATTAATAATTTTATAAATATATTATGTTTATAATATTTTTGTTTTCTTTTTGTAATTATATACGCATCTTGACTGGCATATTGTCGTTAATGACCTCCGATTAAGTAATAGTCTCACTTGATATAGGGTAAATAGATATAGCCATTCTATAATACTATGTATGATAATATTTTTCCAAACCGTTGGTCCAGCAGGAACCTCAAGGTTTTATATAGAGATAAATTAAAGTAGTGTTACTCCTATGAAAGCACTTGCTGCCAAAATTGTAAAAAGCTTGGTGATTGATTAAAGTGACTTGATGTGAACTACCGGTATCTCAATTAATTATTTCTGTTAATTACACAATACTATCTGAATAATCTAGGAGATATGCGACTGACTAAGTGTGTAATTTCAAATACACAAATCATTGTTACAATCCCCAAAAATGTGATGTAATTACAAGAAAAAGCACAGGAGATATCGAGCTTTCAAGTATGGTTTTTTCATAGTTATTTTCATTTTTCAAGTAATATCAATATACTGCTAATAATTACTTTCGTTAAATTAACATTATGTTCAGAAAGTGAAACTTCTTATTATTGATAAAATTCATTTATTACATAAGTGTCAGGGTGCTGTAAGAGCAAGAAATTCTAGATAAATTATACATTTTATTTGTGATCGTATCATGTATTTTCACAGGGATATATTGCTTTGGCAACTTTTTTTACAAAATAAAAAATAAAGCAAGATTTTACATACGGGGAAGATTTTGTAATATTATACCGAATCGAATTTATTCTTTTTTTTTCACTAATCTACAACTGGAAATTTTTATATTTGCATTTTATAAAAATTTAGCAGTCGCGATAAACATCATAATTAAAATTTCATACAGCATACAGCATAGTTGGTTTATAAAAGTAAAAAAAAAATTTCTTATTAATCTTTTTATTTTACGCCGTACTGGTCTCATATTTTGTAATAATATTTGATTATGAGAGGACAAGGGCATAGTTTCTGTCTTGATAGAAATTGAGGCAGTTTAGCAAGGATGTTAGTTTTTGAAAAAGTTCTTATAGAAGAACCAGGAACACACTTATTTATAGAGCATTTCCATATCACATGGAATTGTTCCAAGTATATGTGAGAATTCTTAGTGAGATACCTCAACAAATTGAGAAAATGAATTTATTAATTGGCTCTGAAACGTCGTTAGAAATTTTCAGAAGTTTTATCATTGGAAATTCTTTCGGTGTTCCGTCAAACGTACATACGGTTTACAATCATTAATCGAGCATGTAGGATTCTCCAAATTTTTAAAAATCAATTTACAACGCAATCACTTGGTTGCTTTATATGAATCTGTTGAAGAACAGGTTGTCAATCTCCAAATTGTAAATATTCATGAAAATTATAATGCTTCATTTTCAGAAGATATGGAGACCACAATACAATATTTAGACCCATGGATTTAAGTTCGATATATATTGCGAAATATCAAAATAAAATGAAACCATTACATATATATTTACAAGTTATTTCATTAATTTCTGGCCGTTAACAATTCCAGAGAATCGTATCGATGAATTATTCCCAAAAAATTTAATTGTGGTTAACACATTTACTGCTTACGAATTTACAATGAAAAAATTAGGTAAGTATATTTTTTTTTATCTTACTCAGCGCAAGTATTTCGTAAATGATTGTACCTTTTTATAAAGTAAATTTTTTTTTTTTGTAATTATAGGTGAAGTAACGATCTAATTAAATATAAAATAATTGATCACTTTCTCGAGTAAAATGCTGACATGGAATAGTAAATGAAGTTGTAGCTTCCCATTATAAATTACTTATTTGATTTGGTTTGTACAAGTAAAAATGATTCTCTTTTTTGTGATTATTTATAGATCATATTTGTTAATTGTAAATTAACTAATTAAAATGTTGAAAATCTAAGATGCTGAATAGTTGCTGTCTTGAACCATGATTTTACAAAATAATGTCTTATATTTAATCAAATGTATTTGTTATATTTGTCATTTCTTTTCTGTTTAATAACAATTATAAATGCGTGCGTTTTTCAATTATTCGTCAAATGATTATTAAGTCTTCTATCACGTGAATTATGATATATTTACTGTTCCACAATACTACTTAAAACCGGTTTCGGTATATTTAGGCGCTCGAGCGATCTTCGTTCAGCAAAAAAAAAATTTTTTTTTAAATAACCGAAATGGCTTTTGAACATTTGCAAGAAATTTCTAATGATTATGATAGGTTACTTGAAACCGGCGAAGGACATGATGTTACTATCTATGCCGGTCAAGATGAACATGTTAAAGAAATACGTGCACACACAATTATTTTATGTACTAGGTCTCAATACTTTCGCTCAGCATTCTCAAATGAGTGGGCTGAGAAAAAGGATGGAAAATTGATTTTTAAAAAGCCCAATATTTCCCCCTTATTATTTAAAATGGTAATACGATATATTTATTGTGGAAGGATTGATTTATCGGAATTACAAGGTCCTGATATACTAAAGCTTTTAGTGATAGTAGATGAACTTAACATAAAACCTTTAATCTCTTGTATTCAAGAGTTCTTAATTAAAAATCAATACGAATTTTTACACCATGATCCTATAGGAATACTTGAAACAGTTTATCAACATGAATCATTCTCAGAACTTTGGAATTTTTGTCTTAAAAAGATTTGTCGCGAACCTGAATTATTATTTAATAATTCCTATAAATTAATTAGTTTAAAAGCACCTGTATTGGAATTACTGTTGAAACGAGATGACATAGATTTGGATGAAAATATTATATGGGATAGTTTAATTAGATGGAGCCTGGCACAAAATCCTGCTATTTCACAAGACGTAACAAAATGGAGCAAGGAAGAATTCACCAAGATGGAAAGGGTGCTTAATAGGTTTATTCCATTAATAAGATTTTATCAAATTACACCAGAAAATTTTCTAGACAAGGTGTATCCTTATAAAGAATTATTACCAAATGATTTGGTCAAGAACATCTTTAAATTTCACATGACACCACATCGGGAATTGAATGTTGATATATTACCTCCTAGACAAAAATATGTTTCGGTTATAGTCAAATTTCATCATTTTGCTTTATATGCCAATTGGATTGATAGGAAGGAGGATTTAAACGATGATTCAAAAATTATTCCTTATAACTTTAAATTGCTCTACCGTGCTAGTAGAGACGGAAAGGATTCAAAGATGTTTCATATTAAATGTGATGGCAAGGGGGCTACAATCTTTGTCGCGAAAATTAAAGATACAAACCAAATCGTGGGAGGTTATAATCCGTTAGACTGGAATGGCCCTGGCTATAATATTTATAAATCTACAAAAGATAGTTTTATATTTTACTTTACAGATTATAAAGATGCTAAAACTTGTAAACTAGGTAGAGTAATTGATGGTAAAGAGCAGCATGCCATATGTTGTTACGCTAATTATGGACCATGTTTCGGCCTACACTGTGATATTACGTCTCCGAATAATGCTAAATGGTATACTAGACCTGAAAATTATTCTGAAATTGACATTCCTAAAGATTATGATATCGATGATTATGAAGTATTTCAGGTGATAAAAAATAATTGATTTTGTTTCACAGCGTCTGTATTGCTATTATTATTTACCGTGTATGAAAATTTGTAACCGTATTAAATTATTTAATAAACTACAAAAATTTATTATAGAATTCATTGCAATTTATTTAATTATAGCTTTTATATTTAAATACTGCTTATAAACGATGAATTTTACAATTGCCATTTATATTAACAAAACACTCCATGATTCTTGCTTTAGATCATTTCCGGTATTTTAATAAACGATATGCTAATGTACATGTATATGGTAAAATTATACAAAAAATCTTTAATATTTGCACAATGTTTGACAATAGACCGTGATTACATAGAAAAAATTGTTTGATACTTCGATGCAAGTTTACATCGTCATCATTTTTAATAATAAAATTAATTCAAATTTTCATATATTATCAAATTCAGGAAAATAAATTTGAAAATAATCAAGATCCATCATTATCCCGCTTCCAAATCCATGATCGCAACGTTCAATTAGACGCAGTCAGTTTCCAAAGTGACATTTGCTTATAAGATACTACATTAAGGTCATTTAAAATTTAACAATTAATTCAATAGCTAGCTTTAAATTTAAACGGTACGATAAAAAAAACGGACATGAGCAATTCGGATAAATATAGATTATCCTGATGAATTAGATTTATTTAATAATGAAATATTTAGGGAAGGATTATATCAATGACCTAGGTAATCCAAGAACTTATTGAATTTAATAACTTTTATATTTGTGAATTCCTACTTTGTATTTATATACTATCTGAAAATAAATATGTCAAAGGTGGTTAAAATCGTGTCAAAATCAATAGTTGTAAAGTAATAATAAGCAATATTCTTTTGTCTTTATTTTTTAAATTAAATGATCAAACCAAACCTAAACTAGATGACGGTAGGTTAATTAAATTCCAATCACAAAATATTTTGTTTACTATAATTAATAAAGAAAACTTTAGACTCCAATGTGATTTTAAATTCAGATGTTCAATAATATGAAGGTGGAGAATTCTATTTCAATCCGAAATTACTATAAATTAAATATGGAAGTCAACTAATAATAATTAAATTATTTGTTTCTTAAAAAATTTATATTATCGACTTTATGAAGA